AGTGGCAGAATTAAACTTCCACTGTTTCAAGTATTATAGTATGTCAGGTGGAGTACCACAATTTTTGTAGCATTTCTAATCTTTCATTGTAAAAGTAAAACACATGTAAATATAGCAAAAATACTGAATCGTCTTTCAGTAAAGAAGGTATTGTAATAAGCTCTTCTGAGAGATTTATTTTGTTAGCAGATCACTTTGAACCCAAATCAACATTTGTTACGCTGGAAGGATTTCTATTCAGTGTTCTGAAGAGCAGCAAAGCGGCCTGTCCCTGTTCATTTGTCTGCTCTCGTTTTCTGCTTCTGCACTGAAATATTCATTCCTTACCCTACTGGGAAAGGCAGTCGAGTACAGGAAAGAAAGTAATAAATCTTACTTAGTGGCTTGTCAGTTTCTATCTGTAAATATAAAAACAAAAATAAGAAATGCTTAATTTGACAGAAATAGAAATGTTCAGAAAATGTCTTTGTCAATTGAAAAAAAATTAAAAATAGTATTATTTGCTTTGGTGTTAAATTTTTACTTCTAGTTTCCTTTGTATAGAGGACTTTTTAAAGCAGAATTCTGACTGTTGTTTAATTTATGATACTGTACCATGTTATGCTCTTTTTTAATTAGACATGCCTCATACACAATTCTAAGATATTTCTCGTTTCCTATGTTTTCTTTTCTTCCTGATTAGCAACAGCAATTAAATCTACAATGAGGTAATCTAACATTTTCAAAGGGATTTGTCATTCCAGCCAGAGGAAACATTTTTGTTTATCCAGAGGAGATAACATTCTTGCACTATAATTAAAGCCAGTGCTCACCAGATGACAGGTCTGGTCTTAGCCCTGCAGTTGCATCTTTGCAGGCACATTCTCATTTCTCTGTGGGAACGCTATTTTCCCTAATAAGATTTATTAATGGATGGGAGAGTCTGCAAGATCTGATTGATTGTGGCATTGGGTGTTCTAACATGAGCATTGCAGTTCTAGATGTATGAACTATTAGTTAGTTTATTCTCTCTTACTAAGAACAAAAATACTTATATGTATTTAAAAAATAATTAAGAATATCTAATGAGTGAGAATATGATGGGGTTTTTCCCTTGCTTGGTATGTTCATTGCCTGTGGAATGAACAGACGGTAACTGCATGCAGCAATGAGGTGGATTTTGTGTTTTGGTATTAGTGTTTACTCAAATGTTGTTCAAAGAATTTCTGGCTTGGAGTAATGGTGATGGTTGGAGTGACTTTTGTGTCTGTAAGGCACTCCAGGTTGGTAACTCAAAGGACAATGAAGGTGCTGCTTTATTAACCCTGAGCTCATTTTACATTTAACATTTCACAGCCTACTGATATAAACAGAGATTGTGATTGAAAATGTTGTAACTCTGTCTTCTATATAATCTATTTATGATTATAGGAAGTATTTAACTTGCTTTAGTGCTAATATTGAGTAGGACTTCAGTGCTAATTTTGAATAGGGCTACAGAGGAATTCACACTAATTTCATGGAGGAGTCCATTTTACACGGTGAGAATCAGTATTATACCTTTTAAAAATGTTAGTAATGCTTTAGAGTTTAAAAACAGAATTATTTTACATCCAAAGCCTGGCAAAAATTAGGTTAGAGGGAAATGCTTGAGAAAGTATTTCATATCCTGCCCAACTTTATATTGTTACATACTGATCATGTATTTCTGACTGGTTTCAATGATCATTTTCTTTCCTGAATCACAACGCTTTACTCAGAATAATTTTCTTTGTTATGTTATGGCATCTAGCTGACTTAAATATCAGTGAAATTTTTAGTGGTTTTGCTGCTTTTTAAGGGTAGTTGGAGTACTTTCATCTGAATCCTCAGTTTAAAAGAAGGGATTGATGACAGTGTGGCTTACTCTGTGCATCACCTGATAAAGGGACTGCCGACACGTCAGGTAAATAACTCCACACTCCCTTTTCTTTACAGAGTATGCAGTCTAGATATGATAGAGCACTGAAGAAAGTGATGGAGACCTTGTGAGAGGTTTATAGACTTTTAGACTCGTAGGTAAATATTTAAACTAAATGTGGGGTGAAGGGTGGGTTCAGGCATGGGACGGTGAAAGCTTCTGCCAGGTCTGATCCAATTGGAATACTTCGTCTAAGTAATCGTTCATTATTGCTGGCTCACCATTCGTGAGGAAAAGCCAGGAAAGGTTCTTGAGGCTCTAAAGATAACTACTGGAATGGGAAATTTACTGTAGATATTTTCCTTTATTATATAATGTCTCTCATTTTTGTGCTCTGTCATTTCTGCCTTTGCTTTGTGCTTCTCAGCACAGCTGTTACCATTTGTGCTTACCACAGTGCTGACTTTAATGAATGAAAATCAGGGCTTGGCAAAAAGTTGAAATTCATGTCAGAAGTGGAGATAAGAAGTAGAAGTTTCTGTTGTTTATTTACTTCTATTATCAAAAAACAAACAAACAAAAAACCTTGTCCTGTACAATATTTATTTCTTGTCCAATACTAGAAGTTTCTGCAAAAGAAAAATAGCGTGAATGTTGTGGATGGTGTACAATAATTGCAGCACCTGCTTTGCCTATTTTTTCTTTAACTGTTAAAGCTGCAAATTGAGAAATAAAGTGGTTCCTTTATTAATCTTCCCCCTTTTACCCTTGCTGAAAGAGTATAATTTTACTGCATGAAGCTACTATTTATTGTGTTCAGTCATTCAGAGTGGTGTTGTATTCTTGTCATTCTTGTCTGTACTGTTCTACTTAATAGATAGTGATTTGGCAGTCAGTTGTTCAGCCATGTTAAATTAGCCTTAGAGATAAAATTGGATAATGTCCATAGTTGACTTTTATTTTTAACTTTGGAAGGGGAAGGAAAATCACTAGCATACAGGAAAAGGTAGAGTTTTATGCTGTGCAGCAGGTTCTTCTACAGAAGTTCTGGGTCCTGGTGTGTCCATTTCTTAGGAGGATCATCATAACCACTCTCCTGTCAATATTCCAATGTTTCAGGGCAGAGGTGCTAAACTAGGCTGATGAGCTGATCTCACGGTATGTTGTGAAAGGCTGAGGGAGGTCTCTCTTGTGCTAAAAAACTAAAGGCTAGGTTTGGCTTCAACAGACCAAGGTGAAAAATGTGGCTGTGTAGTAAAACGAGGGGAAAGCTTGTGTTCTCATAGTGGGTTACTGTCTCTTGCTCCTCCCAAGGAAATCTGCTAAGAGGTAATTGTTCTGCACCAACTGTTGTTGAGTGTTCCTCAAGGTTTTAACCCTTGGGGAGACTGAATTGTGTGCTGGATAAAGATCACAAATCCATAACTAATTCTCATCAGAATGCACACAACTGGTAAACTGGGAAGTTAAAAATATCATGGATTATGAAGCGATTTCCAAGCAAATTGTTTTCCCCGCTGCTTTGCTCCAAGTTTCTCCCAGCACTCATATGCAATCTACTTGAGAAAATTTTCTGACTTCAGCCATAATTTGGCTTGAAATTACTTACCGCCCTCAAAATATCTTGTACTAGAATTCCTTATCTTGAGATATGTATCATATGAAGAGACCTTGGACTGGGATAGTTTAGAGCTTCTTTATGGTAACATGATTATCCCAGAGTTTTATATTCACTCCTGATGACAAATTTTCAATAGTAGAAAACCTTTATTCAATGTGGCTTTTAGGAACTGGGATTTTATGAATTGTATTTTATATGTGTGGAAAGAAACTTCTTCATTACCTTGTTTTGATCAGCAAATGTCTTTATGTATTCACATATGCATGGCTACACCACAGGATGCATCGGATGTACAAGCTGATTTCTAATACATAAATAAATATAAATTCATCATAAATATGTCTGAGAAGAAAAAATTAATTGAAAGGAACCATTATTAGAAAGAGAGAACAGTGAAGGTCACTTTGCTATTTTGGCTACTACACCTGGGATAATCCCTTTCAGTGTTGCGCAAGATCCCAGTGTAATTCCAAGGAAATAGGCCTTAAACATCATCATATTGAAATCACTAAATAGATTTCTATATTTAAGTTGGAACAATATTGCTTCTAATTAAAAACTCTCTTAGTAGAGCACTCAGTTCTCAAAAAATCAGATTAGTGTAACCTGAGCTGAGCTGGCAGTTGAAGGAAAGCAAAATCCTCTTTGTTTCAGCTTTTTAACTCATCAAAGTTTCTCTTGTTGTTTATCATTCTTGTGGGCATATGTTAAGCATTTGGGTTCCTTTTACTTCATGTTTTTAAAATGAAAGCTGAAACTCTTTAGATGCTAAATATCAGTTAAGTCTCAGTTGTCTGCAGGGGTATATTCTAATTTTTTGATTAATTGTGGCATTGACACTATCTGGGCATAAGCCAGCTGAGTCCATAAAGACTGTAGTGCTGCAAAATTATTTTTTTATTCGGTGGGGGGGGTGGCGGTGTTTTTGCCACAGATTGCCCGTGCAGCAGATTGCCAATACAGCAGGTACATGGTGATGCAGCCCCGGCTCCCACAGCCTGCTGAGCCGCTGTTAATAAACCTCACGGAAAGCAAAGGCGGCTTTTCTGCGTCTGTGTCCCCACCGCTCCAGCAGGAGGTGTTGCTCGGGGCAGGGAGCTGCCAGCGAGCAAGCCTGGACGCAGCAGCGTGCCTGGCTCAGGGCCCCCACCCACCCTGACCTCGGCGTACCTGACAGGGGCAACCGGGAGCGTGTAAGCTGCTCTGCAACATCCAGAGCAGGTCTGGCTGCACTCATGGCTCTGGTTTGGCGGGGTCATGGCAGAGGCTGGTTATCTGGGCATTGTCACTGTGTGATCCTGCTATGTGAGTTCTCTTGTTACCAGCTGCAATGGAAAACATGTCGTGCTGCTTTGTTCCTTTGAGGTCATTCTAAAAGAGCAGGAATGCTTCGTTGTGCTGAGGTGGCTTGTACCATATGCTCAATAATGGTATTATTTAAATTAATTTAGTTGGAGCACCAATGCATTTTCCAACACTTGGTTTCTTCTTAACTTTCAGGTTTTCCGAAAAAAGGCAGTGGAGCTTGGAGAGAAATTGCTACCTGCTTTCAACACTCCCACTGGGATACCTTGGGCATTGCTTAACATCAAGAGGTAAAACAACTGTTTTTTGGTGACTAGAACATATAAAAATTATGTTGAACCCATCTTTACCACAGAATTATTACAATTGCTGTACAGTTTTTGTCTTTTTTGGTTCTACAATTTAAATTGGGAAATTTAAGTGGATACACAAGAATACACATAGAAATATATTTATTCATCTCACAACTGGCTGCGTTTTTGTCAGTTAACATGTTGTTCATCACTGAGGTCCTTAATTGCTTTTACAGTTGTTTTAGGTAAGGTAAGAGCAAAAGGGCATGTGCTACTCTGAAAGGATAAGTTTTCTATCCACTTGATTTTTATCTGTTCTCAAATGCACCATCAGCACGTCCTTCATACTGAGAAACAAGAGTAATACCTGCTACAAGTGACTCACTGTTTTGTACCTTCTCCCAAGGAGTACTTTTGCTTTGGGCAGTTGTGGTTTGAAGGCAGCTGTGTGTTTGCTGTAGGAGATGCATGCTTTCCTGAAATCACTCTTGCCTCCAGACATGTCAGCAATTCCTTGGTCCATCTCAGGACTGCTAGCTGTGATGCCATGCTGGTAAAGAAAATTCTTTCTTTGCACTGAGTGGGGAAGAATATTGAAAGTTACACCTGTGGGGTGTATTTGTGTATTCGTAAGGACACCTCAGCTTTCTTCATATTGCAAATAAACCCCAGCATCACTCGTCACAAGAAAGTCAATCAGGAAGAATTTCACATGTGCATGTGTTGGTGGTGTGGTTTTTTTGCGTGGTTCCCTCCTTGGCAGTCAGCATCTTCCACTGTTCTTGATCTGTGTTTATAAGCACACCTTTCCCCACACTGGGACATACATTGACATGTTGCTTGATTGGCTGTGTTTGCTTCAGGCTACACAGTAAACTGCTCAGAGGCAGTCCTGCAGAAACCCCTGGCATGTCAGTTCAGACAGGCTTTTCTTCCACCTTCCTTTCAAACAGCAGTGAGGTAGAAGACAAAAAAAGCACGTCCGTGTGCAGGAGCAGGAGGTAATTAGCAAATCCTGAACTTTTTTGTCATTGAAGGGGCTGATTAACTGCTGCCTGGTGATGATTCTTGGACTTTGGTTAATTACATGCATTCTAATAATTTCTTCTCAACAGGCTTTAATGAGTTCTTCACAAGTTCAATAGTACAACAGCTTGAGGTGTGTTGGTTATTTGTAAGCTGTTAGAAAAACTTCTGAATACAAAATGCTAGCATACGTTTGAAATTGCAACACAACAGTACCTTGCTCTACATAGTATATGTAAATGTGTTTAAAGTATTCAGGCTAAAAATTTGTCTTTTATCTAAATCCCTGCTTAACTACTAAATAAATCAATTTTTGCATATAGCTCAAATTGTGTGATAGATCTTTATGGTTTTATTCCTACTTTCTCACAACAACTGCTATAGGGCACTACAGATGTCAGCCACAAACACTGCAAGGTGGTAATGCAAAAGGGATTCGTTTCTTATCTGGCATAAAAGTGGAAGAGGATCTGTGCTGAAATAATATCTTTTGCTGTGGCAGAAAAATTTACATTAAATGGTGGGTTCTTGGTTATTCATTCTGAATCCTTCCACATCTGCCTAGGTTTGACCTTCAGTAGATGACTCTTCCATAATACTGTGAGTAAACAAATGTGCTGTCATCCAGGCTTAGGAAATGCTAAGCCACTGAAGCCTGCATATATTACAGATCTAATACGCCTCATTTTTGATTAGTATTTTACTTGATTTTATTTTGATTTACGCTTCAAATTGGAAAACCCTCACAATAGATTATGGGTGTCAGTGGTTATTTTTAAATTACTATTTTTGGATTAACAGATGAGCTGGATATTTATTTCACTGTGCAAATGTTCTTCACGAAATAGTTTGTTTTCTCTGCTCGTCCTTCATCATTATAGCCAGACTTGTTCTCTGCTTGCATGCCCCTGTGTGTAAACATATATGTGCACTTTTGTCTAACATATATATGTGCTTACATACCAAAGGCTGAAGTCTTTTTCTTTTTATCTTCTCCATTGTTTTTCTTCATCTTACTTCTTTCCTCACTGCTTCGTGACCATAGGACACTTACTGTTTTATTTGTGGAATCCTAATTATCAAATATAATAAAAAGTTCATTGTACTATCCTACAGCTAAAATTACTTGCCAATTCTTGAGTGTGTTTGCTTGTAAAATTTCCTTTGGTCTCTAAAGTACATTTTAAGTAATTAGATTGGTTGTTTGTACTGGGATTTCCTTTTCTTTCTTTCTAAAGTTTCAGTTGCAGTTCCTTGTTTCTGATGTTCTCAGTATTGCTCTGTATCTTCATCTGCAGCATCTATTTTTCACTTCTGCTTGTACTGCAGGAATTTGAAGCTCCTTTTATTTAAGTAACCAGGGTTATATAGCACATACTGACTGTTCTGGCTAAAAATCCTGGTACAAAGAGAGGCTGCAGACAGAGAAGTGTTTAAAGCAGTAGTGAGTTGACAGACAGGTTTGAGTCTTATTCTTGGGAATAAGAAACACAAGCTGGCAAAGCCACTTTTACTTATTTATTTGCTTATTTATTTTCCTCCCTCACACGATCCTTTGTTTAGATATTTTGTCTTCAATACTTCTAAAACACCAACTGTAAGAGTTTCTCGGAACACCGCTAGTTCGTGATCCTATATTTTTCTTCTCAGTCAGCTGTGATAATTGGGCTTCTCCATGCTAAAATTGTCATTTCCCTTTCTCTCTAAAAACTTCAAGTAATTTATAACTGAACAATTGGAATGCTTGTGTCTTTCCATAATTTACCTCTCAGATTTATAGAAATAAAAAAACCTGAAATTATAACTTTCTTAGGGAGTTAAGTAAGCTTAACAAATACTCAGCCTTGCATCAAGTTTGCAGGATCAAGTACTCTTTTTAATGTATCTATTTATTTTTATCTCTGTAACTATTAAAAGGGAAGCTGTTCAGGGCTTGGGTTTATGGGATGATGCCCAGCTGTGAAATACAGAGAAGAACCCAGACTGATGTTATTCTGTTGGATCGATCAGGAATTAACTTAATATAAGATGCTGTGCATTTTTTTTTCTTTTATGTGGAAATTGTGCCTTCATGACACTTTTCCCCCCTTTAAAAGCAAACCTGTATCTGAGTTCTAGTCACTATTTTTCCAATAAGACCACATTACTACTTGCTAATAAGCATTCTTATGTGAAAGAATGTATTTTCTGTAAAATGTTTGCTCTTTATACATTGACCAGTTGCATAGTTTTTATAAGGTTATTTATTTTGTGTTTTGCGCTATGATGTAGCAATACTGTTAAGCATTAAGGTGCCTGCCTTTTTATGAAGAATCAGTGTAGCATATAACCTTTAAGTGCATCTGAAACTTTGAAAAATAGTTATGCCTTACCTTAATGAAAAAGTTTTCAACTGGAGTAAATAATATTTTTATTTCTGGAAAGAGAACAAACTGAAAATGGTATCTAAGTATCTAAGGCTATCACGGTATGCAAGGGGTATACCATGCCTGTTCCTCTGTCTCAGTGACAAAGCTGAATTATGTAAACATTTATAGCTACAGCAACCATGGGAAGTGTTGTATAAGAGGAAAAGCTTTGAGGGGTGGTTGGAGTGGGTCAGAGCAAAGAAGCTTAACAGAAACTAAAAAGGAGAAGTTTGAAATATGTGATTAATTTTTATTTAAATCAAACCCCAGGGTGTGGTAAGATTTACTCAACATAAATGTAAAATGCTTACTGTACCTGATGTCAGGTAAGGGTTCTTTGCCTTTCACACATTAACATTGATTGTACATTAAAAGCAGACCATAGTTCAATTCAATATAACATATTTTTTGAAGTGAGACAGCAGAGGCCTTGCTAAATTGTTTTCACAAAGTAGTTACTCATTTGTAGGTAACTGAGGTTGGAAGTGACAAAGCTGCAATACATACCACTGGGATATTGTCAGCATGATTTTTAACAAGGTCCCCTTTTGACTTTATTATTATTGTTGTTGTTATTATATTAATTATTAATAATAATAATAAATAAAATACTGCATTTTGTACAGAATATTTAATTTGGGCCACGGGCTTTTCCAGGCGTCGCAGTTTTCAAAGTTTGAACAAAAGTTTATTGCAGCTACTGGGCCCTTGTAGCTGCTGTGTGGATTCAGTACAAGATACACTCATAGCTTCAAAAAGAGCTTTTTGTCTCACATCACTAGGAAAAAAGAATATAGCAAGAAAAAATACACCCATAGTTTTTTATTTTGAATTAATTTTTGCCGCCAGCTAGGATTCCTGTTCCATGACAGTACTGCCGAGTAGGATGGTTCTCCCCACCATCTTTGGCTTGCCTTGGAGAGCTGTTTTGGTGAGGGCTTTTATGGTAAAATGCCACAGCATTTGCCAGGATAACACAGACACAGGTGATGTTCTCTTATGGAGTACTCATTTCGATACTTCACACTATCGGGTACTTCTTCTGGTACTTCAGACTACCAGCAGTGGTTTAGGCTGTAGACATTTAAAGGAGCTTCTCTCTCAGCACCTTCCAGCTCACTGGAAATGTGGTCAATAAACCAAGCACTGAGGTATGAAATTTTGGTCTTCAGACAACAGAACTTGCTTGAAAATATCTTAAAGTTTCAGAGTAATTCCCAAATTCAAAATGTGTTTGAGGTCTCATGTACCAACAACACTTGAGGTCTTCAAAATGTCTTTAGTGTGCTACCTCGTTAGAAAAACTCTGGTATTCCTAAGGTAAGATTTTAGCATATAACAGAATGGTTCTCTTTGAGTTTTGGGACATTTTCCAAAACGTAATCAATGCACTTAGGAGTATTTACCTTTATAGTTTGTAAAGGAATCTTAAAAGTTTGAAAATGTAACAAAGAATGGATCCAATCATGTAAATTCAGTCAACCTTTTTGGACAGCTTAATTCTCCCACTTACATCGTCACAAAATACCTGAAATGTGATTGTTGCATTATTTTGCAAAATCT